TGTTAACGTTGTCTCCGAGCGGGATCAGCTCTTTCCCGATCTCGCTCAGCATCCACCATCTGAATCATTACGGATTCACAAAAGGTATCTACGACTCTCCACCCCAAATCACAGCTCAGCATCGCCGACATGACTTTTGCAACGAGAGGTTTCGTTCGATTTGGTTTACCAGGATCGTCCACTCCCATTTCCATGCTGAACATACCGCGAGCATATAAGACACGGAGTCTTGGTCTTGTCGTTCGAAGCACCCGTGCTTCCTGATTATCTGCGTAAGTTTGTAATGTATGCTAGAGCTTAATCTGAATAACAGCGTGAGAAATTGTGTTATAGGAAAAAGGTGTGATTTGCAAGATGATGTTGTGATTCATCATCATCATCATCATTACAGCCCTTCACAAGTCCACTGCTGAACATAGGCCTCCCCCAAGTAATGCCACAAAGCACGGTCCTGAGCCACCTGCATCCATCGACTTCCTGCATATCTTACCAGGTCGTCACTCCATCTAGTGGGGGGTCGCCCTACACTACGCCTACCGGTACGAGGCTGCCACTCGAGAACCCTTCTTCCCCATCGGTTATCGGTTCTTCGAGCTATATGGCCGGCCCATTGCCACTTCAGCTTACTAATCCGTTGGGCTATGTCGGTCACTCTGGTTCTACTGCGGATATCCTCATTTCTGAGTCTATCACGCAGAGAAACTCCGAGCATAGCCCTCTCCATAGCTCGCTGAGCGACCTTGAGCGTCCTCATACGGCCAGCAGTGAAGGACCACGTCTCTGATCCGTAAGTCATCACTGGCAACACGCACTGGTTGTACACTTTAGTTTTCAGAGATTGAGGTATACCTGACGAGAAGATGTGTCGTAATTTCCCGAACGCTGCCCAGCCGAGTTGAATCCGTCGATTGACCTCTCGGTCGAAGTTGGACTTACCTAGTCGGACTATTTGTCCCAGGTAAACGTACTCGTCAACAACTTCGAGCATAGTGCTCCCCACAACTACCGGCATAGGTGTGACATGGACATTGAACATAATCTTTGTTTTGTCCATGTTCATCTTAAGACCTATCCGTTGGGAGACACCATTGAGGTCATTGAGCATAGTGCTAAGGTCCTCCAGCGATTCTGCCATAAGGACTATATCGTCGGCAAATCGAAGGTGAGTGATGTACTCGCCATTGATGTTAATACCGTATCCTTTCCAGTCCAGTAGCTTGAAAACGTCTTCCAAAGCAGCGGTGAAGAGTTTCGGGGATATAACGTCACCCTGTCTTACACCTCTCTGCAGTTGGATAGGTTTCGAGCTCTGGTTCTGTACTCGGATAGCCATCGTAGCCCTACTGTACAAACACTTCAGCACTTCGATATACCGACAGTCAACTTGGCACCGCTGAAGGGACTGCAGCACCGCCCAAATTTCGACGGAATCAAAGGCTTTCTCATAGTCCACATACGCCAGGCAAAGTGGCAAATTGTACTCGTCAGTCTTCTGTACAATCTGCCGCAGGGTATGTATGTGGTCTATGGTACTGAAGCCTTTTCGGAAACCGGCTTGTTCGGGAGGCTGGAAGTCGTCGAGTCTGCTTGCGAGACGATTCGTAATGACTCTCGAAAACAGCACGTAGACGCGGCTCAGAAGGGAAATCGGTCTGTAGTTCTTCAAGAGAGCGTTGTCGCCTTTCTTAAAGAACAAGACCACCGCACTTCTGCTCCACGCCTCTGGAGTAGTGCCACCATGGAGGACGAAATTGAAGAGCTTCTGAAGGACTTCAAGTACCGGTGTTCCACCCGCTTTCAGAAGCTCCGCTGTAATTCCATCCTCGCCCGGGGCCTTGCCGTTTTTAAGGTGTTGGAGAGCCATTCTAATCTCGCTCAGACTGACGTCCGGGATATCATCGGAATAGTGTCGGATAAGACTTGCTCTTGGATCGTTACTCACACTTGAGTGTGGCTCCAACGATGATGTGTACAGCTGCCCATAGAACCTCTCAATCTCACTCAGAATCTCAGGTGTCCCGGAAACGATGTTGCCACACTCAGTCTTCAGCCTTGACAGTTGGCTCTTTCTGGCAGAAAGATCTCTGGCAAAGACTTTGGAGCCCTGGTTCCGCTCGATCGCTTCTTTAATACGAGAAGTATTAAAGTTGCGTAAGTCTCGCCGCATGCATTTGGAGATCTGTCTATTCAGTTGCCTGTATGCTGTCAAATCTGTTGACGATTGCAGCCTCATCTCCCGTCTAACAGCCATGAGATTAAGAGTGTGATCGGAGAGTTTTTGTGTTCTTCTGCGGCGGGTCTTGCAGAACTTAGCTCCGACCGCATGGACAGTTTCCACGAGCTTGTCATTCATATCGTCCACTGCATTGCAATCTTGTAGGCACTGAAAGCGGTTGTGTAACTCGAGCTGAAAGTTTTCGGGATTCTGGATTAGAGCACGAGGGGGACGGAGCGTTGACTTCATTAGACGAGACCTCTCCAACTTAACGTTTAGGTTCAGTGTGCCTCTAACCATTCGGTGATCGCTGCCAGTTTTCACCCTTGCGATCACTGAGACATCACTGAACAGTTGGCGTCTGGTCGTCATAATGAAGTCAATCTCATTTTTTGTCGAACCGTCGGGGCTCGACCAGGTCCACTTCCTGTGGGGCCGCTTCTGGAAGAAAGAGTTCATCATAAAGAGTCCCTCTTTCTCCATGAAGTCGGCCAGCTGCTGGCCCATTGGGTTCTGTTACCCTATTCTAAATTTCCCTAACTTCAGCTCACCGTTTTCTCTTGTGCCTAGTTTTGCGTTGAAGTCTCCCATCAACACCGTGTAGTGGGTTTTGGAGGAATGCATGGCTTTGGAAATATCCTCATACATTTCCTCCACCTCCTCATCGGAATGTGCCGAGGTTGGTGCGTAAACCTGTATGACCTTCAGCGAATACCGTTTGGTGATTCTGAGTATCAGGTACGCGACCCTCGTCGACACACTCCCAATCTTTACAACGTTGTTGACGAGAGACTTGTGGACGATAAATCCGACACCTCCTTGGGACAGATGGTCGCCCTCCCGGTGATAGAACAAGTTGCCGGATTCGAGAATCACCGTGTCCTCCCCCTCTCTTCGGACCTCGGATAATCCTATAATACTCCAGCGCAACTTGTCTATCTCTTCTTCCAGCTCCAGGATCTTCTCGTCAGTCCTCAGTGTGCGTGCGTTAAATGTTGCCAGGTCGAGTCGTCGTAGGTGGCAACCGAACCTCCACCGGAGATTCTTAGCACCCCCTGCCCCGCCGTTACCATGGTCGCCACCGTAGCCAGGAATAGCGGAGCCGCCGGGGACTGGGGGCCGTCTATTTGTGTAATTGTTCATGGGGGGGTATATTGCCATAGTTGCCACGCTTGGCGAGCGGGTTGGCAACCGCAGTTTTTTTTTATCGTACAGTTGCTGTTATCAGGAAGATGCTGCTGCCCATCTCCTGCCTGTCTCCCTCTGTCGCCTTTTACGACACCCACGGGAAGATATGGGGTAGTGGATATTCTTAACCGCCACTACACGGCAATGTTGTGATTAGGATAAAGAAAAAAGTGCTTTGGTGATGTTAAAAGAATGAACGAGGAAAGTGTGATGAAACAAAAGCAAATTTATATTGCAAATTTGAACAGCAGAGTCGGGAAGGGACGAAGGTTTATCAACCAAATTGGCAATTTATTGTAAATGAGCCAGAGTAGGAGTACCCTTAACCGGCGAGCGTGCATGTGTAGACATATGGATGTACAGAAGGCGAGAGAATTGTGCCAGGATCGTGCTAAAAGGAAAACCATAGTCTCTGTCTACCCCTACCCCTCTGGGTGACAGGGACGAGTGTTTATGTATGTATGTATATGTCGTGTTAATTTGAGAAATCATTACAAAAATATCTTTTAAACGGAAGTAAGACGGAAGACGGAAGTGACGACCTGGTAGGAGATGCAGGAAGTCGATTGACATAGGCGGCTCAGGACCATGCTATGTAACATTCTATAAGGGCCTATTACCAGTAGCAGACTTGTGATGGGCGATAATGATGATGATGATTTAGGCAGTAATAACAGTTATTGTGTAGTTAAAATAATTTAAAGTTGATAAAGTGGTGTCATTGCATATATGTATCACCTTGCTGTTCGTCGTATTTGACGTAGACAGCAGCAAGAGTCCGCTACACTAAACCAAGAGCCAGACATTTAATGTTACCTACATGTCCTCAAATCAAGTCAAAGTATTTTATTTTGGTTTCTTAGACTTGCAGGCTTCCACGGGGTGTCTTCTACGTCACCAACGAGCATGTAGTGTAATAATACTTAAAATTTCAATTATTTATTAAATTCATTACTGTAGGTAGGGACACAATTTGGACACTATATATTAATACGAGTACATAGGGGGAAGGTGGGGGGGAAACCGGACAGAGGGTGAAACCAGATAGTTACTATTTCATTACCCCGCGTATAGCTGGCTCGTTCTAGCTAATAGAGAAATACGCGCGAACGCTTAGTCAGTGCTATTGCAAATGGCGGAGTCGGTAACATCTCTGCGCGTGCGTCTATAAACGAAAATTAAAAACAGAGGTAAGTTATCTAATATTTTGTTTTTTTGAAAGTATTATCATTAAGTTTAGCTATGTGCTATCATAAACAGCTGTATATTCAAAGAAGTAATACATATTTAAATTTCTAAAACGGTATTTGGTATCGCTATGAGTGTCAAGATAACCTGTTAATTATTGCAATTTCAAACATGGTACCTGTGGGGTACAAGCGGACGGGGTGATTTCGACCATCCGATTTCACCCCGATTGATTTGTATGTAGGTCTTGTGGGTGTTTGTTTTACATCTTCTTTTAATTGCTATTTTCTTTTTACTTTTTACAGAGTGAGTTGTCAGCATGCCACGAACATATGTGAGAAAGTCAATAAGGGTTCAATGGTCGGAGTCAGACATGCTTTTAGCCATAAATTCGGTGATGGAAGGTAGAATGGGATATCTTTTAGCGTCAAATACATACAATGTATCTAAAAGTTCGATAGAAGATCGTGTAAAGAAGATAAAACGTGGAAAATCAAAATATGAAGTGATCCGAAAGTGCCCTGCTACTGAAAAATGCGTCTTTACTGATGAGTTGGAAGGTATGTTAGTCGAACATATCAAAATTATGGAATCTCGACTATTTGGCTTGACTAAAACAGATCTGCGACGTTTGGCATTCCAATTAGCTGAGAGAAACAATTTAAACCATCCTTTTAATAAAGAAACTGGACTCGCTGGCTTAGATTGGGTTAGTGGATTTCTAAAACGACATTCTGAATTGTCGCTAAGATCACCTGAAGCTGCATCAGCTGCAAGAGCAATGGGATTTAATAGGTCTGTAGTGTCATCATTTTTTAATCTTTTGGATACACTTTATGTTAAGCACGCTTTCAATTGCACGCGAATTTATAACGTGGACGAAACTGGATTGACCTCTGTACCAAAAAAAAAAAAAATAGGAAAAATTATATCGGTGAAAGGTAAAAAACAAGTTGGTGTACTAGCTTCGGCTGAACGAGGACAGTTGGTAACGGCAGTGTTTTGCTTTTCTGCAGCTGGACATTATATTCCACCTCTTATGGTTTTTCCTCGAGCACGAATGAAGAGTGAGCTTTTAGATGGTGCACCACCGGGCACAGTAGCTGTATGCCATCCAAGTGGTTGGATGCAACAACATATTTTCGTCGAATGGATGCGCCATCCTATGTAAAACCAAGAAAAGAAGATCCCGTGCTTCTTGTCTTAGATGGTCACGCCACACACACTAAAAACCTAGAAGCTATTGAGTTAGCTCGTGCGCATGGTGTCATAATGCTCTGCTTGCCACCTCACTGCACGCATCGCTTACAGCCACTCGATGTTGGTTTTATGGGGCCATTGAGCACGTTTTATTCGCAAGAAATCCAGTTATGACTTCGAAATCATCCGGGGCGTGTTGTCACCCAATTTCAAATAGCATCTTTGTTTGGAACTGCTTATAATCGTGCCGCTACAATGCAAAATGCGGTGTCTGCTTTCGCCAAAACCGGAATTTGCCCTCTGAATCCCAATATTTTTACAGACGTAGATTTTGCACCATCACAGACAACAGAAATATCATGTGTACCAACCACAAATGAAATCTCTCAGGATTCATTGCCTCGAGAAAGAACTCCATCCCCGCAAGCAGGAACATCTACAGAAGGACAAATATTTCCAGATCCTATGTCTTGTATCGCCGAAAGATATCATGCCGATTCCTCATTTTAAAAAAACAATCCGACCATCGACGCGTCGAGGAAAAATAGCAATTTTAACTGAATCGCCGTATAAAAATGAACTGGCTGGAAAATCTACGCAATCAGTTATCAAAATAAAATTTAAAGACAAAGGTAAAGGTATCGGGAAAAAGACCAATAAAGAAAACAATCAAGAAGATTCGGAGTGTTTGGTTTGTGGTGAAAAGTATAGTCTAACTAAGTCCACAGATGAATGGTACCAATACACTGCTTGTCTTGAATGGGCTCACGAAAGTTGCATTGGTTGTTCTGACCAAGAATTATTATTTTTTGTATGCAAAAACTGCGAATAATTTAAGTATTTTGTTTTATTGTCAGTATCTGTATTCACCCCTGTAATATAAAACGCCTATCCGGTTTGACCCATAGGTGTGGGGTGAATTCGGATTTGTAATTTTTGTTTAAAATTGTTCTAGTTTGTAGTAATTAAAATTGATCTCAAATATTTTCATACTAAAGTTATGCCTAAGGCATACTCAAACATTTGTGATATTGATTATCTCAATAAATGACATAGTGATTTATTTATTGTGTCTTTTTCTTAACTATCCGGTGTCCCCCCACCTTCCCCTACTATTCATCCATTACTGCCTAAAATAGCCCACCGCTGAACATAGGCCTCCTATAGAATGCCTTGATTGGCTTAGCAGGCAAGTAGCTGCAGTTTTAAAAAAAATATATTTTTTAGTTGTTTCCGGAAAGGCGTTACTACTGCCCATCTCCTGTTTCAGTTTCTTTCTGACGATTCTTGCGACACTTACGGGGTAAGGCAGTGGATATACTTAGACCGCCACTACATGGTTGGATTATCTGCGAAATATAAAATATCATACGAATATGCTTATCCCCTAAGCTACCGCGGTTTTCACTGTAACATACAATAACTGAGTTTAATTATAGGCAAGAACTTTGCTAATTAATATTTTTACAAGTGGGATCATAAATTTTTTAAATGTGCTGCGTTTAACTTAATTGGAGTAATGCCAACTGCGTGAAAGGGTACTCTATCTATCAGTTTTATTGCAGCATTAGCTTCGTCGGTAAAATTTTCATATAAGTATGAGCAACAAAGCTTCCACAAATCTGTATATGGGGGTTTACTTTATCAAGTTCTATTTTTACTTGGTTACTCCGCAGACAGCCGGTAAACAGCTACCTAAGCTCGTCCCTCAAGGCAGCCAGACTCAGCACCAGGGTCCGGCCCGGGATTGCCTCGGGCCCCGGTGCTGTGTGCGTTTACGACCACCAGATCCACAAGGCTGTGCGTAGTGCTATGATTATTAAATAACTATATCATATAATTTCGGTTAGATACCTACGAGTATATTACAATATCCTTATAGTATTTTTTATCAGAAATGAAAAGATGACTGCTGCCAGCTATATATATACATGGGATAGATTTACTTAACTTTTGCTTTGAGTACTATTGCATATTATTATTTATATATTTGTTCAAAAAATGACCAGTTTATGAAATAAAGGCTACTTAAATTTATATTTTTAAAAGTAACGAATATCAATAATTCGAATACAGGAAAAGGTTACGTTCATACATTTTTCAGAAAAAGAGTTTCAATTGAAACCCTATCGCTGGACATATCCGAAAATATGTTTTGTAGTTAAATGTAAATAAATGTTTACTGATTATATCATAATCGTGTTAATTGAGACCATAAATATATAAGATACGATGAATAATCGACAGAATAAGAGTGTGGATAGAACTAGAAAATTTCAGACTATAAAAGATCAAAAGAATGTATTATTTTTGTGAATTCACCTGAAAACACTATACCAGTTGGACACATTTTTATTAGTGGAGTCTTCTTCCTTCTACGACACGACCGGATGACTAGACGCTCAGCCTTTTTTACGACACTACGTATTTGAACCAACAGGCTTGTTCCGTCGTCGCCACTATATGTCTTTCCACCCGATTACAATGTGACTCTCTTAAAACCAGGCTTTTGATAAATTATGTCAGTGCACTGTACCACCTTCGGCTACATGGCGACTCACCATGAGTATGTATGATTATGATAATAGTTAAGCACTGTCTTTCAAAATAGTTTAATTTGTAGAAAAAGGATGATAAACGATCACACAGTCCACCTGATGGTATGTGGACACTGTGGCCCATAGACAACATCATCTATCCGATAGGCACCATCTCGATTAAGTATCAAAACGTACATTCGTTGTCAACCCTGAGGACTAAGAGAGAATCCCTTGATACCAGTAAAAAGGGCCTCCGTTTCTCTACACTCAACATATACAACACAGCAGTATTAAGATGCTATTTTATGCTAAAATAGTGTGAGATTGTAGTCCTACCGTGGTTGAGTCGATCCACTCGTATCGCATAGCTGCTATGAACCTCGTATGAAAAGTCCGTTTGTGCTCTCGTAGAATGATTCCAACCACTCCTCGGTCCTATACAAATGAGAAAAATAATTAGTGATATGATCGTGATCAATGCGAATAATAATTCAAAATAAATGCGTTGGAAAAATAACAAATACATTCGTTGTAAAAGTGTAGAATTATCATTAAAAGTAAAGACAAATTCTTATTCATGGAGGTTTGATGACAATATCATATTTATTTTACTTGGATAGTTTGGTACACATATTCCATTTATGTGTTACATTATGTCGCGAAATCACAGCCTCAGAGTATAAAGTTTCATTGTCAAGTACCTACATATATCGTAAGAGTAGTATAACGGAAATAGCAGAAAAGTTTTGTGGATGGCAAATCTTTCTGATTTGGAATAAGAAAGGTTTAAGTATTTATGAACTCATATTAATTAATGTTAAGTAATTACACACACACATACATAATAAAACTAATGCTACTGGCAGCATGTTAATTTGTTTGGATTCTTAAACATACTTTTAAGATAAGTAAATCTGCCTTCTTTTCTAATATATAGAGACAATATTGTTCGTGACACAAAGGCACGACAAAGTAGGGAAAATAGAAAATATAATAGAATTCTCTTTATTTAGGCTCAGACGGTCATTGCCAAGTCTGTGTAAGCAAAATAGAGATCCTTTGACGCATGAAGGTTCGTCAAATGTCAGGTTTTTAAGGAGTTTTGTTGGATAAGATACAAAAAAAATTATATATACGCAGCAGTTTCGTATCAACTGGTATCCTCTTATTGAACTAAAACATTGCGGATAAATTTTTATTTTTTTATGAAAAGGCTGTTATATTTACTAACACGTGATAATAATTTCTTTTCTAAAATTTTTAAGGAAAAAGATTTAAAGAATAAAAAAATAATAAATTTAATGATATAAGCGCCATGTTAAAACTATAAAAATAATTAAGTTATATTAATCGAGTTATTGGAAAATCAGAATTCTTCTCACTGCGCCACTGAAATGATACAAACCATATTATTTGAAAACTATCTTTTTGAAGTGAAATATTCTTTAGAATCGTTGTGATCTGAAACTCGATGAAACGAAAAGCAACACTAAAAATAGACAAACATATACATTTTTTATACCATAGGGTGACAAACGAGCACACGGTCCAGAATAATAACAAACAACTTTTGATATATTTGATATGGTATGCCGAAATATATAATAGATTACGAAACTTTCCAACCCCTTTCCTTTTGATAAAAATACAATTTCATTAAATTAGTATTTATGTTTATTCCTTTTGATGGCATGGAAGATCACAAAAGATCATTTCATGTACATACTCGTATATATTAACCACACGATGGAGGTTTTCTCAATATGATCAACTTTATGTTTTGTGCTTTATAGAAGTGTGTAATGCTACTTATTTTTAACGGTTTTCATTGATATTTATCTTACATTATAAAGTATAAGAGAAAATAATAAATACTGCTTTAGTATCATGATATTTCGAAGATTTACCAAGAGTAAAAAAATTGTTAATACCAATGTTTATTTATAAATGACTATGTAATAAATTTTCAGTATCTTTGCGTATAGTCTAACACAATTTTAATAATTATTAATAAATATAAAACGAGAGATAAGAGGTATTAAGTATTATGTATGTTCAGAAAATTTAAAAAATAAATAATTGATCGAAAACAAACTAAAAGGTTTTCATTGCTTTCAACTTTACCAACCGAGTTAAATGAACACAAATAATTTGTGAGAAATACGAGAGTATTTTTTTATTATTCATTTTATAGTTTCATGAAAATAGATTCAACTTTTTTCCATTATTTTAATATGTATCTACTTTAAGAAGAAGGGAGCCTAGAAAACAACTAAACCGTTGCAAGTCATTACAATCATACCACCTGAAAATATAAAAATCATCTTAAACAAGGTAAAACTTATAAAATTAGATGAATACAATATAGCAATAAATTGGATATATACGAGTAGAAGGCATGTGTTAAGTGACATTTTATTTTATCTACATG